AAAAGGACCAGGCAGGAGGTGATGGGAAAGACCTCCGCCTGAGACCCTGGAGAGCTGTAAAGAGGGGCCGTGGCTCAGTGGCAGAGCCTCTGCTTGGCATGCAGGAGGTCCCAGGTTCAATCCCCGGCATCTCCAGTTACAAAGGACCAGGAAGTAGGTGATGGGAAGGGCTTCAGCCTGAGACCCTGGAGAGCTGTCGTGGCTCAGTGGAAGAGCCTCTGCTTGGCATGCAGGAGGTCTCAGGTTCAATCCCCGGCATCTCCAGTTAAAAAGGACCAGGCAGGAGGTGATGTGAAAGATGTCTGCCTTTGGTGGGATCAGAACCGGTGTTTGGACCGGGCATCACTGTATGTCACCTTGCAAGGCACAGTCTCCAGAGCACGGGGATGTGTCGTTTGGGGTGGGTCCAGAGATTATTTTGGGGTGCAGCCCGGCCCCAGTGTGTGCTTGTGTGATTGTCCCTAGGGGCACCACACTTTGGAGCAGCTGGCACCAGAACCGTGCTTTGGACCAGGACACCGCACACGTCCCCTCGAAGGGGAGAGTCCTGTGAGCCTGAGGGTATATGATACGTGGTGGCCGAGACCTTATTTTGGGGCTCAGAGCTTTCCAACTCTCCTTAGAGTTTCTGAATGACTTCACGGATAAGGAATGAAGAAGGAAGTGCAAACAAGGAACCGACTTCAGCCTCCTGCTGCACGGGGAGCCCTCGGCACAAGGTGGACTTCTGTTCCCTGTGCCACCCGCCACATCGGAGACCTCGGCGGGAGCTGTTGCAATCCTCTTTTTTTTTTTCCAGGCGGGAAAGGGAAGAAAGGGACGTTCCGTTCCCTCCAGGGCCCGCGGCTGGAAAAGCACCGGGTTGCATCACCGCCAGTGCGGCTGGCCGATTTCCCTTTCCCCTCCTGCTCTCCGGCCTGTGGGGCCAGCCCCATGCGAAGGACTCCCTGGCGAAGGGGCCGGGTGCGCTTCCTCCTCCGGAGACCAGTCATGCCTTCTTTCTTCCTCACCCCCCTCCCCAAAACACCAGCCCCCTCTCGCCATGGGGGCAGAGGAAGCCGCAGTGGCAGAACAGCCTGTTCCCTGGCCCTGTTTTGGCGGCCGTGCGTGGCCTTTCCAAAGCCTCGGCCTCTGAGCCAGGGGAAAGGCGACGGATGAGAAGCTGGAAAAAGCAGGCCGCCGCCAAACCGCACAGCCGAGAGGGGAGAAACGGACGCTTTCCGGAAGGTGTCGGGAGGAGGGCAGGCAGAGAGAGACCCACCGACCAATGCTCCCTCTTTTCTTTTGTTTTCGGCCCGCCCCCGTAGGGGATTTCTTATTGCATTTTCTATAAACTACAAAGAAACAAGGAGAGGGTCACTACAAACTACAGGTGAAAGTAAAGAGAGCCGCTAAAAACCCAAGAGGTGGTGGTCACACATTGCTTACAAAATTAGCTTTGAGATGAGATGTGTTAACATCGAAGGTGATCGAAAAGTGTATGGCTTCTCTTCTATCCCTTCCAGCTAATCAGACTATTCAGAGACACAAATGAGAGCATAATTAATTTTCACCAGTGCAAACATCAAGAAACATCAGCATCTCGTTTTTAAAAAATGTTGTTCCCCCAATTGCCAACCACCACCCCCTCTTAAAACCAGGACTTCTTCA